CCCCTCTTACCCCCGAAATCCGGTCCCTGCTGCCAGGCTTCAACTGCTTCTCCACGGGGGCCCCATCCTGGCGGGGCTTCTTGGGGGCTGGAGGATCCGCCGGCTTGGGGGGTCCAGGCTGGGTCACTTCCCGCTCCCAGTATCGCTGGGGCCTCTTCTTCTGGGGAGCAAAGGCAGAAGAAGAAGAAGGAGGAGGAGGAGGGAGGAGGGGTTCTGGGGAGCAAAGGCAGAAGAAGAAGAAGAAGAAGAGATTGGATTTATTCCCCTTGCCCTTCACTTGGAGTCTCAGAGCGGCTGACAAGCGCCTTTCACATCCTTGTTTACTTTTTCTCCACTTCTTCTATCTACCTTCTTTGAATTGTGAGTTCTTCCGTTCTACTGCTTGTTTTACCATTCTGATTTTAATTAATGTCTAGACTTTATTGCCCTTTTAGAGAAGAGATTGGATTTATACCCCGCCCTTCACTCGGAGTCTCAGAGCGTCTCACAATCTCCTTTCCCTCCCCCTCCCCACAACAGACACCCTGTGAGGTAGGTGGGGCTGAGAGAGCTCTGAGATAACCTGCTCTTTTTCAAGGACAGCTGTGCCAGAACTACGGCTTGCCCAAGGTCATCCAGCCAGGTGCGAGTGGAGGAGTGGGGGAATCAAACCCAGTTCTCCCAGATTAGAGTCCATTGCTCTTAACCAGAACACCAAACTGGCTCTCAGGGAGAGAAGATGTTTGCACAGCTCTGTGCTGCGTTCCTGTGAGCTCCTACAGTCCTCAAATGGCAAGAAGCTACAACGCAGAGGGCACCTCTGGGGGGGAGAGACCCAACAGCTAAGAGGCTACTCTTCAGGGGGGGGGGGCAAAGAAAGAGGTTCTCCAGAAAGGAAGCCCCAGATGGAAGGGAACAAGGTACCCAAGTGTGGGGGGAGGGGAGAGAGAGACCCTGCCGAAATCACACCCGGCCAGTCTCCCCTGTGTCCCGGGCTTTTTGCCAGAGCACCCTATCGTGCCCCCCCGCCCCCCGGGCACCTGAAAGCAGGCCACACAGCCCAGGGGCCTGGAGACCAAGAAGCCCTGCGAGGAAAGGCGGAGGGACTTCTTGGGAATGTTCAGTCTGGAGCAGAGGAGGTTGAGGGGGGACAGGAAGGCATTCTTGAAGTATCTGAAGGGCTGTCACTAAGAAGAGGAGGAGGAGGAGGAGGAATCATAAAACATTAGAATGTTGGAAGGGACCGTGCGGGCCATCTAGTCCAACCCCCTGCACTCTGCAGGAGCAGAGCCGAAAGAGAGCCCTACGACATACGTGAAAGAGGGTCTCCCAACCTCCGCTTGAAAAAGGAGGAGACTGGATTCATACCCCATGGCCCTTCACTACTGAAAGGTGTCTCAGAGCGGCTGACAAACGCCTTTTCCCTTGTCCCCTCCCCACAACAGACGGACACCCTGTGAGGCGGGTGTGGCTGAGAGAGCTCTTTTTCAAGGACAGCTCTGCCAGAGCTTGTGACTGACCCAAGGGCATCCAGCCAGGTGCGAGTGGAGGAGTGGGGAATCAGACCCGGTTCTCCCAGATGAGCGTCCACGTGCACTTAACCATGACACCAAACTGGCTCCTTCCCCTCCCCCTCCCCACAACAGACACCCCCCTGTGAGGCAGGCGGGGCCGAGAGAGCTCTTGACAGAAACTGCTCTTTTCCAAGAACAGCTCTTGTCAGAGCTACGGCTTGCCCAAGGTCATCCAGTCAGGTGCAAGGGGAGGAGGAGTGGGGAATCAAACCCCGTTCTCCCAGATTAGAAGAGGAGGAGGAGACTGGATTCATACCCCATGGCCCTTCACTACCCAAGGGAGTCTCAGAGTGGCTGGCAAACTCCTTTTCCCTTCCCCTCCCCACAACAGACAGACACCCCCTGGGAGGTCGGTGGGGCTGAGACTGAGCTCTTGACAGAGACTGCTCTTTTTTCAAGGACAGCTCTGCCAGAGCTTGTGACCGACCCAAGGTCACCCAGCCGGGTGCCAGTGGAGGCAGGGGTGGGGGAATCGAACCCGGTTCTCCCAGATGAGTGTCCGCCTGCACTTAACCCACTGCGCCAAACTGGAGGGCCGGGGAGCTGTTACAATCACGGGTTTGAATGATTTGGATTGGGAAGGGACCGGCTGGACGGCAGGGATTTTTTCTGTCTACAGCCAGAGTCGTTCAGCAGCGGTGCCCCCTGGCCTCCCTCGGGTCTTGCGAGGTCGGCTCCAGCTAGTGTTTGGCTATGGGAGACCCCCCACCCTAGTCCCGCGCAGGCCATGGCGAACCCACCCCTGGACGTCCCTTGGACTGGGAAGCTCCCGCAGTGGAACTGGCCGCCCAGGGGGAGGCGGGCGGCTGGACAGGAGACTTCTGGCCGGGGGTGCTCGAGGGTGCTGGTCTTGCACTGGGCGGGCGGGCGGGCGGAGGAGGTTGGACCAGGTGGCCTCTGCAGGGCCCCTCCCAGCCACCCCCGGGAGGTTGGCAACC